TATCAGTTAATATTTACAGCACTCTAGCAATTCCTCTTGGACAAATATGCCATGTGATTTGGAGATTCAGGTTTTTTTCTAATGACCATATTACTCTTTTATAGTGTTAGTAATTTTCAGGTGCATCAATTGCGCTTACAATTTAACAGCTTTGCCTAACTTCTTTATATATCACCATCTCCTGGGTCTTATTTATTTATACATTTTATTTTTTATCTACTGCAAATTATATGAATTTTCAAACTTGACATTGACTTCCTTAACTCAGTTTCAAGGTGTATTCTTCCTAATGCTTATCACTTCTACTTTGTTTCTCCTAGTTTATGTCTTTATTTACACTTTAGGTATCTTTCACTGAAAGTAAAAACTTATTTATTACTTCTTATTATATTCTTTCTTCTTGGTTATCAAATATTTTTCATTGCCTTTATATTCTTAAGTCATATTCTCTATTTTATGATAGGGAGTAGGATTTATCTGATTCTTTTATTATATAAAAATTTCATATATAATATTTTTATCATTTACTTACCTTTTATTTGTTCTATCTGTCTTGTCTACTAACCTGTCAATGGATGCATTTTATGCTGTGCTGGCTTTATTATTAATAATATTTAGACATGCAAAGTCTATCAAGAGCAACAACTTGCCAAAGAATAACGATCAATGAAACTGGGGAATAAACTGGAGGCAATTAGAAATAGAGAACAAAATTCTAAAATATGGAACTGCAGGACAGATTTAACTAAAGAATGTCCCAAATAGACAGTTCATCTGTGTTTTCTTCATTGCTATGAGTTAGCGATCTAACAAAGAAGATTAAAAAAAATATATGTTTGGGGAAATAACAGAGGGAAAAACATTTGACTAAGAATTTGGGACATGCAAAAATTTTCCAAGTTGAAAGCAAAATCAAGAAGAGCATTTAAAAGAAAGACCAGAAACAAAGTAACTAGAGAACTTTTTGTGTCCCAGAAACATTTCTGAAGATAACAAGGTAGAAAAGAAGGCAGAATATGTGAAGCATGGGAATAAGCTAAGAGAGACGATGTAGGGCCTCTTGGACTAAGCTAAAGAACTTGATGTTATTTATTATGGCACAGGTAAGTGTATAAGTTTAAGCCTGGTTGATATTCATCATTGGTTGTCATACTGTGGCAGTTGTATGCTGCTGTGATGCTGAAAGCTATGTCTCTGGTATTTCAAACACTAGCATGGTCACCCATGGTGAATAAATTTCAGTGGAACTTCCGGATTAAGACAGACTAGGAAGAAGGACACGGCCACCCACTTCTGAAAAAAGTGGCCATGAAAACCCTATGAATATCAGCAGAGCATTGTCAGACATAGCACCAGAAGGTGAAAAGATGGCCCAAAAAGACTGGGCAGGGTTCTACTCTGCTGTACACAGGGTCACTAAGAGTCAGAATGGACTCAATGGCACTAACAATAACTGGTTGGCATACACATCTCTAGTTTTTGTGGTTTTATTAAAGAAGAAATACGGCAATACAGTACATGGTAAGCCAGTTTGAATACAGATTATTCATAGTTAGACCCAATAATTCTCTTGGAATAGTCCAAGTAAAGGCTAATCAGTGATGATTTAAACAGTGGCAGTGTGGTAGAAAGGAAAATCTATATTCAAGAGCGAGTTCATTAATAGATTTGATAAAATGACTATAGAAATGTCAAGGAAGTTGACTTATGATAAGAGAGAAAAAGAGAGAAGAGAATAAATAGTAATCGAATTTGTTGACAAGAGAATTTACATATATTATACAATACCTCGGGAAGGTAAGTCATGAATTCAATAAAATAGTTTGAGTTAAAATAATTCTAAACGGGAATTCTATTTGAAACTATTTGTATGAACTTTCAGTAACTACATTCTGAAATGTAGTATAGTTTAGAGTAAGAGATATCAATTTGAGGATGCCCAGCTTAGAAATGATAAATGAAATGATGAGTTAATAACATGACATTAAATATTTGTCAAGTAAAAGTTTAAGTAAGAAGGTAAAGTAATCAAATTGAAAATGGCTAGGAAGGCCATCATTTAATGTTTGGTAGGGGCAGATGACCTACAAAGGCAAAAACTGTCAAGAATATAGTAGAAGAATCAGGTGCTACCAGAAGAAATGAACTGTGGAAGCCAAGGAAGAACATATTGTAAAATTCAGGATACTGACAATGCTATCAAATATTTCAGAGAGATAAAATATGGTAAACTTTTTGATAAGGCCTTATCAATAATCATAAGTAGCCAATAATCACAAGTTGATATTGAACATAGTTTTTAAAAGATTGAGTAAAATAGTCTGAGTAATGGCCAGACACTGATGTCTTAAGAAACATGTGCCATTACAAAATTTGAGAAAGTTGAGAAAATAAATACAAAACATTATTTCAAGATAAGTGGTAAAGGAAAGAAGAATTTTCTAAGGAAATGGATTATGATAGTCTTTTTCTTGGTTGGTTGGTTGTTTTCACTACAAAAGAATGCTTATACACAAGAATTGGGACAAAGACTGAGAGAGAACAAAGGATCAAAGAGAGAAAGAAGGAAGGAGAGCAACAGAGGGAAAGGAGAGAGAGAAGGAATAATAAAGATAGTTAGGGGTGTAAGATTCCTCACAAAGATTTGTAGAAGACAGAAGGACAGAAAAGAGACACGAGCTCTGAAAAATGAGAGACATTACAGCCTCTATGACAAAATGGAAAAGTGGAATAGATGTCAATAGGAGGTAAAGAAGATGGAATTTTTTCCCGACATTATTTTTAATATCTGAAATATGAGGTATGAATATTGCCTTTACAAGAGGGAAGCAGCGTTTCTTTAGACTTAAATGGTGTCTATGGATTTTACAAAGAGTCTTTGGCACTACAAAGAGCTTTACGAATGTGTTTAGATCCCAGATATGTCTGGAAAGTATGGATTTGTAGCTCCAGTCTTCAAGATTGTGCACTTTTCTCTAACAATTTTAAAACAATAAAGGTGAAAACAGATGATTTGTTTCATTCAATGCTTCAGAGGTTAACTATAAAGATGACGTTAAGACAGTTGACAGCGTTAGGGAAAAAGCGCTGTTGTTGGTATTAAGTCTGGAATCCAGGTTTGCAAGTTCTTACGCTGAAAGCTAGTATTCCATTTGAAAATCACAGTATATAAATTCTTGCATAAATCCACTTTTCTATATTGAATCATCCTAGTCTCTTTGTCTATGCCTCTCATTTTGTTCTATACAATTCGCTCTGTAATCAGTGGTTGGGTTTGAATTTCTTTACTTGCCCTACAGAGTTATTGGTAGTGGCACACTTCAATATAACTACGCTGTTACATTCATATTCTTTAACCCCCCCCCAATAATTTCTGTACCCAAAGCTAGTAACTCAGTAGCACTTACACTTGTATTGCAACCCGTCTTCCATTTGGATGTGCATGTTCCGAAGCCAGTTTTTGAAGGTTTAATCAATAGAATCATATACCTTTCAGAAATGAATTTGGATACTACAGTCAAATTTCCACTATAATATTAAGATGTGCCTTGTCTGTTCATTAATGTATTATAAGAATTAATTAGTAATAAGTTTTCAATTCCCTCGCCTTGGCTTTATGCAGTTTATAGTGATTTCACAGCTTCCAGATAATTAAATCTGCTACTATTCTTTGATCTTTAATCAACATTTCACATTCTTCTGTTTATTCCTAATGATACCCTGCAGCTTTTAAATTTACTCTATTCCCACTTTATTTTCAAGGCCTAAAAGTAAATCTTAATTTTCTTGGTGTAATAACAGGAACAAAACACCTGTGCTTCAATTTCAATAGCAAAAAAATTAAAACAATGATAATACTTAGATAAATACATAAAAATAATTGAAAATACAAAACAAGTAAAAACAAAATACCTTCTACTAAGTCCTTAGAATCTCATTCACTGCTCTTACTGAGGTTTTCTAAACTTTAACATATATGTACTATAATTCGAAATTTACAAATAGTAAAAGCTTAAGATCTTAAGACAATAAATATATCAATGTGCCCTTAGTATCCAAAATATGTCAAAAAAGCTGTGAAGGCCAAAACATATTAGATAATTTTAGGCACATTTTTACCTCAAAACAGAAGACTTATAAAGCACACATAATTTTCCTATATCCCAAGAGTTAGTGCTATATTTCAGTATTGATTTTCAGTAGGAAAAAAGATCACAGTAAAACATTTAGTTTTCTGCTACAGATAATTGATAACTGATACTGACAAAAACCAAACATTTTCTAAAGGAACACAAAAAAATATTTACATGAATTGAAGGTTTTTTAAAAAGTGGACAGGGGCCAGCCCCATGGCATAGTGGTTAAGCTCAGCATGCTCTACTTCAGTGGCCTGGGTTTGCAGGTTTGGATCCCAAGCACCTACCTACACTACTTATCAGCCATGCTGTGGTGGCAACCCACATATAAAGTGGAGGAAGATTGGCACAGATGTTAGCTCAGGGTTAAGCTTCCTCAGCAAAAAAAGGAAAAAAAAAAGTGGATGATATGACTCCATAGGTAGAAAATGCAATGTCTAAGAGTTATAAATATAAAATATATTTCATGTTTAGATATGAGAAGATTCTACTTGCAAAATGTTTTGCTAAATGGTAACAAAATGTTTTGCTAAATGGTAATTAAAAAATGAGTTGTAGAGTTGACAACTAATTTTTAACATTATATTAATGCATTCACTAACTTTCAGGATGATAAAATACAGTATAAAAACACCTTAAATACAAAATCCACTATTTGGAGATAATGCTAAAATACAAAGACTTGGATTAAAAAAGAGTGGAGCTGAACTCAAATAATAGACTCATCATGAGATTTTCTAAAACTCACTTAGTTTTTTATGAAACAAGAAATTTATTTACAAAATGCGTAGAACTACAAATCAAATATCAAAATAGGGAAATGATGGTAATGACTTAACAAAATTTATAATTTCCCAGACTTACCATAGTATTTTACGTAAATTGCACTTGACTTCACTCATTTATTTTTTAGACACAGTATTTCTCTTCATACTTCTTTCTGTATCTAGGCTTAAAAAGAAAATGTAAAATTTTAATCTCAAAATGTGAATGAGAGACTTTCTTTGCTAAAATGGAACAACGTGCAGAAGTCTAATGCTCCCAGTGAAACAATCAGATTGATATTTGAATATACATAGATATATAACTAGATATAAAGCTATAATAAAAGCCTTAGAGATCTGCTGAGACAGCAAAGATTTAAAGTGCTAAGATCTCAGAAAAAAGAAAATCAAACAGAAGTAAGTCAATTTTGCCTCCAGGGCAGTGGCCTGTTTTTGGCAAATCTAAGCAGAAGGCTAGTGCTGAGGAAAAGACGAACCAGAACAGTGTTTTTGCAGACTTTCACTTATAGGACTTGGATTGCAAAAATTAGAGTTCTGGGCTACAGAAGCATTTGGTACATATGGGGCCAAGATCCCAAAGAAAAGAGGGGCGCAGAAACATGAGTCTTTTATTTTGGTGCTTTTCCATAAGGCATTTTCCAAATTCTAATTATACAAAGACCAACTAAAGGGGTAAGAAACCAAAAGTTAAATATAAATAAAATTTAAATGATGGGATTTTCAGCAGTTTCACTATTCTGAACTAACAAAAATAGGAGTTCTGAAAGCAAGCCTTGAAAATACAACAGGGTCAGCTGGAAACCCTTGAAGGCTATACTGTTTAGGCAAAACCGACATTGATCAAATCATAGAAAGAGTGCAAGTGAGGCTTGGACTATAAAATCAACTAATGACCCACAGATGACCCAAATATTCATCATATTAAACATGGACATTAAAAGTAACAAATAATAAGGAATAAGTTCACTATCTATAATGAAGATCTTGACTCCATTTTTTGATGTTTGCTCATAGCTTTTAAATCTCACTCTTCCTTCCTTTTGTGCCTCGCATCTGGACAAGCTAATACGACATTAAATGTGGGTGGCCCAAACAATAACGAGGATTCAGGATTTCAAAATTCTCAAATAAACAGACCCATATGTTTTCATGCCAAATTTCATAGTCTCTGTTATTCCCAATAAGGGACACCAATCTTGGAATAGGAGATCTACTTGGTTTGAGAATTCATCCTGTCTGGAGTTCTGCTTCCCTATGTAATTAAGCCTTAGGTCTCAACCTCAGCTCTTTCTGCATCCAATTGCAAGAGATGACAGTCTCCAAGCTGCCAGAGTCCCTCTGGCTTTCAAACTTACCCTAATTAGTGACTAATGAAACTCAGACTTTCATTGTCTTTCTTCAATGCCTTGAGATCACCTAGCGATTTCATGGTATTTTCTCAGTAAAGTTCATTTCATAGTACTTTAAATTAGTCCGTCCTCCATACTTCTCTAATACCAGGCATTGGATAGCTAGTGCATTCTCTCCTCTCTCATTCATCACTGATGAGAGTTTTGACAATTATACCATTAGTGTATGCCAAGAGTTATCAGTATTCCAACTGCTTTCAATAACATTTCATTGTCAGCCTGCTGGAAGGTAATCTGGCTTCAAAAACTCATTTTAGAGACTCCTTCCTAGAAACACTCCCATTACCCAATTGTGTTAGGTCTATTCTCTGGAACAGTCTCTGAGGTGGAGATTTGCAGGACAGAAGTTCTTGGAGGATGATCTAAGAAACAATATTTGAAGAGACTGAGGGAAGCTAAATTGAGTACAGGAAGATGTTCAATTACACTGTGTTGCAACAGAAGTCTCTGATGATTCCATTGGGAACTCTGGAGCTGAGATTGCCCTTTAGATTGGTCTCAAATTGAGGCAAGGGAGTTTGGTTATTATACCTCACACAGTATGCGATATAGATTGCCTTCATAGAGAATATGTAATCTTGGGTGATGGAGCTTCTTTTCTCCAAGGGGAATTCTCTGAGAGGAACATATATGTGACCTGTCAGCAGCCAATATTCCTGGCAGCCATAAGTGCCTTAGTCTAGAAGGGAGATTTTGATAGCACAATCTAGGATCTATTATCCTATAGTCTGCATAATTCCAACTTTATATAAGTTTACAAGAGATAAAACTATACCAATAGTAATCAAGATAGAAGTTAACTTTAGGAAGCTAATGATTGGAATAGGACATGAAAGGGGTTTCTGTAACGTTGGTAATGTTTTATTAATGATATGAGGAATTATTACATGGGTAAGGTCAATTTAGGAAAATTATTCAAGCTATAAAATTATAAATTGTGCATTTTTGTACACATGTTATATTTCAATTAAAAGTTTAGTTTAAAAGCAACATGACATTCAGACACATAACTGAAAGGATTATTTTATAATTTAAACTTTGGTTTTACTTTCATACAAGTTTGTATTTTAGAATAATTTTATTCCACTCTTTATCAGTAATTTAATATTCAATTCTCCATAGTGATATGGATAATTATCATCATCGGAATATTTCTTAAACATCCAGTTTCACAGATCATTTGCATAAAAGTTTAACTGATTTATAAAATGTCTTATCCCACATTATTAAAATAAGAAAAACAAGTATCAGAATAACTACAAAAATGCCAATGACAACTGCTTTCAGAAATATACACTTTGGTAGTTAAAAGTTATTTAGCTCAGCCCCTTTGCCTGAACAAGATTTAGGAGATGGAGCTGACTAAATTAAAGGAAAGACAATATAATGGCTTGGTAATTGCCATATAAATACCCCATCATTACAGTGTGAATATGTGATTACTTCTCTCCTTTAAGGAAGACTCCAGTTTACATGGTATTTACTTAGGGACTATTAAATGTAATTATAGGGTACACTTCAGGAGAATGGAAACAAAGTGAAATTTAGTTTTGCATATCTATATACTCTAGGAGTTAACAGTTATTTTCCAAAAGTCATTTTGTTTGGATATGAGTGTATTGCTTGTCCCTGTCCTTAACCAAGTGATAAAGTTATACAGTTGCCCCAGAAGAAATTTTTCACATGACATAACTTGCTTAATATGTTGCATATCTTATTTTGAAATTATAATAATATTATAGTTCAAAAATAAAATTATTAACCCTGGGTACTCAAGAAATTTGTCAATGATAATGTCACAAGATGATCTTTGTTATACAGTTTTTTAAAAAATGTTCTTTATAATGTTTACTTGATGATGCATAGACAGTAAGACTGTAGCAGATATTCTGTCTGCATGAAATGTGTTTCTACTGCCTGCTGGGGAAACCAGACTATATTTCCCAGCATCACTTACAGTTAGATGTCACTATATGACCAAGTTTTGGCCATAGGATTGTCTTTGAAGTTGAAGTACACCACTTCCAGACCTGGCCCATAAACACTCCTCTAAGTAATTTCCATGCCCTCTCTTACCCTAACTGCCAGCCAGAGGCCGATAAGCCATCAAAGCTTCTGAGGCCCTAAGGATAGCAAAGAGAAAACATGAAAAGAGTCTAAGCAGCGAGGTGACCAAGTCCAAGGCTGTGCAAAGACTGGAAATATCCACATTGTACTTTATGTGAGAGAGAAATAAACATATTGTGTTAAACCACTGAAATTCAGATGTGTGTTTGTCATAATACTCACTCATTTACCCTAAACAATTAAAAAAAATTAACTGAAATTGATGTGCTGCCATTAAAAACTAAACTGTGTGGCATTTGTTTAACAGTCAGCGAATGGACAAGAAAACAGATATCACAGGCTCGAAACCTAGAAATTTCTGTTGAGCTGTGACAAAACTTCCATCAGCCATAACTTGGAAGGCAAGTCATATACATAACGATACTACTGCTCTAGAGAAAGTGATTGGGAAAAGGCAGAGTAAAAACGTGTGTTGGTTACCACACTGGCTGCCTTTAGCAAAGTGTTTCTAGAAAGACATGTTACAAAGTTTAAAAAGAACTGGAGAATGTCCAGAGATGAAAAGCATTTAAGGATTGGAAAGACAACTGTTCTAGAGTCTCCTCTAGAAAGTGCTAAGTATGAAAACAACAGCAACAACAACAGTTTAGTGAAAATCAGGTAAATAAACAGTTGAGAGAAACAGAAAGTGAGAGAAATAGGGAAATCAATACTAAAGTGTATTTAAGAACTTTGGGTGTGCTTATTGGCCCATGGAATAGACTGGACTCCTATCAGAAGCTTAGTAAGGTTTTTTGGGAATTATATAGCCAAAAGAAACTAAGAATCTCATCCAAAAATGCCTGTGGCTTTTCAAGTCTTAAAAAAAAATCCCTGAAGGAAGTAAACTGCAAGTTCATGTAAACCGCAATCAGGACATACTCTCCTTTGCTCACATAAGATATGATCACAGAGGATGACAAATAAGAATGGCCCTAAAACCCTGGAGCCAAGGCCCTGGGAGAAGAATGAATAGAGAGAACATGGATGTTTCTCCCAGAGGTCAAAATCAGAGTCTAATCAAGGAGTTTTCCTCACCAACAACCACCCTAAAAATGAGTATTCAAAAAACAAGCTTAGCAGGATAGTGAACACTGAAATGCATCTGCAATGCTGTATCTTTCAATTTCCCTATTTTATTACGTTATTCTGGACCTGCTTCACCATCATGTATTTGATGTATTAGGGGTAAATAACCTGCCTTTTCTGGTCCCTTGATTGCTGGGCCAGAGGAACACGGCTGGACCTGCTGAAGAGGCCAGTGTATCACCAGAAAAGCTTTAAGGTGGATGGAATAACTACATAGGATATTGGATTGTCTCCTAGGTGTGTCCCCAGTGTGGGGAGTAGGAGTAGGAGGAAAGTAAAACAGATACTTCCTGATTAAAAGTCAGACAAGCTATGTAGATACTGCTTTTCTTCCTACCTTCCTAAGATCGAGTTCCCCAAAATCCAGACTCTGAGATGCCGATCTGCAGGGGGTTTTGAGCATCTGTGTACAGGACTGAAGGAAGTAGGATTTCGTAAAGGGAGGATTAGACTGTTATGAAATCACCACAAAGGCCTCAGCCATCCCACAGGAAACATTGGAGCTGGAATGGCCCTTCAGAGTTGTCCTGTCTTGTGGCAAGTGGGCCAGGCCTTTAGAGCC